GAAAGCATACTGTCCATTGCAATTATCAAGTAAGCATTTAATCTAGCATAACTAAAGCATTTTAATCTTTTCTTATGGAAAAACGATTAAATGGTCATAACATCACTATGATGTGCATTCATTTACTCCTGACTTTTAGAAGTTTCTTGGAGCCAAATCTCAAGTGAAACTAAACTTCTTTACAAAAAGGCGGTCTGTGTGTGTATTTGCTGGTTTAGGAGCACATATACATACATACATACATACATACAGATATCTCCTCCAATTTGCTCAGAATAATTTGCTTTTTTATATAGGCTACGAGGTGAGACACATTATTGTATAATTAATGGTGAACACCTAAGGTCTACATAATCTTTGTTCTATTTTTTATTTTTTGGATGGGCCATAAAGCCACAAACCTGGGGTTAAATGTTCTTCTGCAAATTTCCTTCCAGAATTTTGGTAGGACACATTTCAAAGAACATTTGCAAAATGGAATTTTGTACCTGGTTGGTTTAAGAGTTCGGAATGCTACCTTTCACACCCTTTTTCCAATTTGGTCTCAAAGGGTTCACAGTGACCAGAACGTAGCAGCAGTTTTATGAAATTATTTCTGGAGGCTTCATGGAAAAGATGCATGTCAAACAGTGCAAAACAGGCTGTGAAAAGTGTGTGTAGTATGGATATTCAATTTTTATTTTAAATTAAGGAAAAAATAGATTCTAGGGCACCAAGGCCTAGGCTTTCAACTCAGCATTGTCCACCAAATTTATCTCCATTTAGGGTGCAATCCAATCCATGCCTACTCAGAAGTAAGCCCCACTGAGTTCAGGTAATTGTGAATAGGACTGCAGCCTAACAGAGCAATCCAAACTCTTGGTTTCAATGTTCTTTCAGCAAGGATATGTTATCCATGGAAATTCTATCCTTGCAGTGTCTATAAACGTGCATTTTAGCTTATGTTTCAGTAAATATTTTCTAGAAGAAAATAGATATGCTTCCATAGCAGATACGTTTCCTTTCCCCCTCTCCAGAACTGTGTTTCTCCTCTCTGTTCCACCACTAAACAGCTATGTTATTTTAAAGTTTCAGAGCACACGTTCCTCACACAGCCCCTCTGTGTCAAATGTTAGTGGTCTGATCTGCACCGCCCTCAATTTTCTTTTTTGTTTCCATTGCTAAAGAAGAAGGCAGACAGAACTGGACAGCAGAGCCTGTCAGGACCAAGGAAAGACAAGGAAAGCAGACTTAGAGAACAGGCTTCATCAGAAGACTTGGGCAGACCAGAGAAAGGACCAATAGTGATGGGCGAATCCATTCATTTTGGTTTCTCTCAGTTTCTCATTTTCACAATCTTCAGCCCAGTTCTTGACATTTCCACATCAGTTTGCATTTTTTTTTAAAAAATAACCAGCCTTTTAGTATGCATTTCTCCCAATACACACATTTTTGCATGTAACCTTGCCTAATATAATCATTTCTGCAGAACAATTTTCCTCAATGCAATGCGTATTTTCCCAGTCTGTTTTCCACATTTTTATGCAACCAGCAAGTTGTTGTTGTTGTTTTTGTACCCGTTACTTGCAGAAATTTAGAGAAGAGTGAATTTTGAAAGATGGCTGCAATTCAGTTTGTGTAATGTTTCGGGAAGTGCAATTTACACAGGTTCGCCTTTAAATGAGACTGGAAGCAAATTTATCCCCCATCCCCAGTGACAACGGCAGTATCAAGAAGGGAATTTAGCTGGGACGTAATATCTGCCAAACCATAATGCTACTTAGGCTGAAATTTAGCCCCTTTGAACATCGTGTTGTATACTTAGGAGTGTGCTCTTCATGTGCTCCACTGCTTGTGAAACACCATGTTTCATTTTGACAGGTGTTAACCTTGCCCTGACAGGTGTAACCTCATCCCCAACCACCAAGTGCATATGGACAGCTTCCTCAGCCCAAATTATCTCTCAAGTGACTTTCCCTTTCCCTTCCCCCCCATGGGGTTCCAAACGCATGTTTGTGAAGGTCTAAAAAGGTAAAGGTAAAGGACCCCTGACAGTTAAGTCCAATCACGAATGACTCTGGGGTTGTGGCGCTCATTTCGCTTTACTCACTTTATTGTCCGCAGATAGTTTTTCTGGGTCATGTGGCCAGCATGACTAAGCTGCTTCTGGCGAAACCAGAGCAGCGCATGGAGACGCTGTTTACCTTCCCACCGGAGCAGTACCTATTTATCTACTTGCACTTTGACGTGCTTTCGAACTGCTAGGTTGGCAGGAGCAGGGACCGAGCAACAGGAGCTCACCCCGTTGCGGGGATTCGAACCGCCTACCTAATGATCGGCAAGTCCTAGGCTCTGTGGTTTAACCCACAGCGCCACCTGTGTCCAGAGCACAGGTACATCAGTGCAAATTACTGGAATAGGTTCAGGAGAAAAAGAAGCATTTCTTCACATAAAACATACGAATTTCACTATCATAAGCTGTGGCGAACTGCTAGGTTGGCAGGAGCTGGGACCAAGCAACAGGAGGCCCCATCGTGGAGATTCGAACCACCAACCTTCTGATCAGCAACTTCAGTGGTTTAGACCGCAGCACCACCCACGTCTCTGCTTTGTGAAGGTCTACTGAGGCTCAATTAAATTTTAGAGTAATTTGTCGGGAATGTACATATATCAGACATTCAAAAGGCCTTCATTGTCTGCTAATTTGACGTGGAGGAAGGAGTAATGTCTACCAGGGGTGGGGGGAAAGTATGGCATTGACAAAGTAGAGAATATGAGCTTTCTTCACACTTCCTGTAGCTTTCCTTTTCTTTCTGCCTCATATGGTTCCTGAGATAGAAAACATTCTTCCTTTGCTTAAGGGGAAAATTTAACGCAACCTTTATAATCTGTGTTACGCGCAAGTATAATTAGCAATTGAATGCCAGCAGATAACTGTTCAGAAATCAATCTGCATGGCAGGGCGGGAGGAAAATAACAGTGAATATTGTAGTAAGTGAGGAAGGGAAGACATTATTCACAACAAATTTGTGTGATAAATTGTTTGCTCTGTTACAGTCTCAACCCTGGCTCCTCTTCAATTGCATTGTTTGGTTTATAAAATGGTTGGGTCTAAATGCTCTAAATTCCTAAAAAGTGGAGGGATTTGAAACTCTGTCCAATATTTCATCAAAAGGTCAGTGGTCTGTAACCTGAGTTTGTAACCCGAGGTGTTTGTAATCCAAGGTACCACTGTATTTGGTGTTAAATGCACTTTTGGTTTAATTCTAGTTTCTTCATCTCATACAGCTAGAAATGATACAAAAAAGACTATTAAAATTAATGAGTAAAGACTAAAAAGTTCTGAGCATGTTAGTTTAGAACAGAGAAGGGAAACCTGTGACTGTCCAGTTTTTGATGAACTACAAGTCCCATCATTCCTGACCAGTGGTCATGCCGGCTGGGGCTGAAGGGGGCTGAAGGCCAACACCATTTGCAAGGTCACAAGTTCCCTGTCCTTCCAACAATGGCGAGGAATGACAGGTATTTATACACCTATGAACCTTGTGAAGAGAAGGAATTTGTCCCTCAAAGTATAGAATGGTAACTGAAGCTGATTAGCAATAGTTTAGTACTGTCAAAAAAAAGAGTACTTCTTTACACCACTCCTAGGGTTGTCAAGTGTTCTCATTTTCCAGGACACATCCTCTTTTTCAGGGGTAAAATTTCTGTCCACGTGGATTTTTAAAATTTGCCAAAATGTCTCTGGCTATACTTTCTGGATGAGACATAGACGTAACTGGTGGCTGAAGACTTGCTTTCCTCTTCTCCTCTCCTGCCCCCCTCAGCAATATATCTCAGCTTCTATAGCCCACATATAGTAGGGGTATTTAAAATGAGAGTCGTCATAGCATCCTCTTTTTGCTCTTCGAAATATGGCAACCCCACTTAACCTATGGAATTGGCTATCGCAAAATGTTGCATGGAGCTCTTAAAAATAGGTTATTAAACATGACAGAATATACATGTGTACCCAAATGATATGTGTTTGGATCTTTTACTAAGAATTATAGTGCTTGTGGTAGAAATTGGGCTCTCAAGGGGAGGAATTAACAAGCCAAAATTTGAGAAGAAGAAGAAGAAGAAGAAGAAGAAAAGAAGAAGAAAAGAAGAAGAAGAAGAAGAAGAAGAAGAAGAAGAAGAAGAAGAAGAAGAAGAAGAATTCATTAGTTATACCCCGCCCAACTGGCTGGGTTTCCCCAGCCACTCTGGGCAGCTTCCAACAAAATATTAAAAATACAATAAAAAACCAGACATTAAAAACTTCCCTAAACAGGGCTGTCTTCAGATGTCTTCTAAAAGTCAGATAGTTGTTTGTTTCCTTGACATCTGATGGGAGGGCGTTCCACAGGACGGGTGCCACTGCCGAGAAGGCCCTCTGGCTGGTTCCCTATAACCTCACTTCTCGCAGTGAGGGAACCGCCAGAAAGGCCCTCAGAGCTGGACCTCAGTGTCCTGGCTGAACGATGTGGGTGGAGACGCTCCTTCAGGTATACTGGGTAATCTGATACACACTTTATTAAATAAACAGAAAGCTCAATTAATTACATAGACAGCATGCAGACTGAACCCGCAAGTTAAATAACAGATTGGGAACCTGTGGCCCTGAAGATATTGCTGGATTACAACTTTTTCTATTATTTATTTAAGCAATTTATATGCTGCCTAACTGCTCTAAGTTTCATGACCCCTGAAAATTAGCCATACTGGCTGATCAGAGTTGTAGTCAAAGAACATTTGGTTCCCTATCCCTGAGACAAATCTACGAGGGGCAGTAGGAGGGGAAGTCAGAAGAGAAGAGCAGCTTACTTGTGATACAAATGAGAAAGAGGTTGATTCCAAATGGTATGTTTAGCATGGGAAAGAGGACACTGAGAGGAGATATGATAGCCATCTTCAAATATCGCAAGGGCTGTCACATGGAGAATGGAGCAAGCTTGTTTTCTCCTGCTCTGGAGGGTAGGACTCGAACCAGTGGCTTCAAGTTACAAGAAAGGAGAATCTGACCAAACACCAGGAATAACTTTCTGATGGTCAGAGCTGTTTGACAGTGGAACGGACTCCCTCAAGGTATTGTGTACTCTCCTTCACTGGAACTTTCTAAGCAGAGGTTGGATGCCCATCTGTCATGGATGCTTTAGCTGAGATTCTTGCATTTGCTGGAAGTTAGACTAGATGGCCTTTGGGGCCCCTTCCAGCTCTATGATTCTGTTACGTGCAAGTAAACATGCATGGGATAAGGCAACAAATCTCACAAGAGTTGCAAACCACGCAGTGTGGCGGGAAGCAAATGCTATTGGTAGCACAACAAACAGGTAGCCGAAGGCAGAAACTGTTGTCTAAATGCTGCAGTCATTCGAAAGCACAGGGCATTTTACGGTGAGCTTCAGGTAGCAAAATGTCTTGTACATGCACTGGAAATTACTATTAAATTATATCGCCCATTTCCCCCCCTTGAAACCATTTGGGTGAATCAAACATTTAAGGCCTCGCCAGGCATCTTTTAGTATTGTGCATACACGATGGTTTGTGCACATGATGACATCGGGGCATTTATTTGGGATCCCATGTTCAATGCTGTTTACACCTGCAAAATGCAATCTTGCAACATACACCTGCAAAAAAGCCAAAACAAAGCCACCAGTCTAGAGGGCCCTTAAAATATTATGTATTTATGCTAAAGTTGCATTAGATGCTTCTAAACTAGCCATTGTTTCTTCATTTGGGGGCTAAATTACAATAAATTAAATGAAAAAGTTACAATTTATCTCCAAACTGTTTGATGGTATTCTTCTTTCCAGATGGAAAGCCTATGTAGTTTCACCTAGCCCAGTTTGGCAGAAAAATCCGATTCATCTAGTTATTTCATGCACTTTGAAGATGCTATTTTCCTGGTTAGCGGTTTTCTTGAAGACCTTTATATTTATTGTTAAGAGAATTCGTCCTGATTTGTGTGTGTGTATGTGCGTGAGTGCTGCTGGGCACTCCCCTTTCCTTCTTTTGTGCTGCCAAATTAAATTGATCCTATCTTGAACAGAATCTTAAATGGAATGTTAGCACGCATTAATTACATTTATGGTACAGGAGACCCTCTGGATGGACATGCAAGTGTCTGATGCGGGCAGAGCCACAAACCATGTGTGAGTCACTACGTGCCTCTTGCTTGATTGTTATATTGTGCAGTAAAATATAATTAATATTTTAAAAAAATCAAATTACATTTTAGAAACCCAGTAAGAATCATAATCTGTCTGATAATTAGACATGGGGATCAGGGGATCAATGAGCTGAACTTTAATTTTAGTCAACTCTTCACATTTGCTGTTATAGGAGCAATGTTCTCTCGTTATGCAAACATACTGTAACAGCAGCCACACAAAACTGGGATCTGAAAACTCTTGCTAAAATGTTTGACCCTCTGGAGGAACCAGACTCCAGGAAACAAAACAAAACAAAAACCCTTTGAACGCTGCAAAAATGTTTAATTTATCTTGTTTCTTACTGGCTTGCATATTACCCCATAGTTTGCTATCGCTTCATCTTTGCCTTTAGCTTTTGTTTCAGAATACGGATTAAGAAGACCATCTGAGGTGCGAATGTGGCTGTCACAAATATCTGGAATTGTTTAAATCTGGTGCATGCATTTTAGAGGACAAATGAAGAATGTGCGTTATGTCTTTTTATAATCTTGCAGCTGGCAGGTAGGCATAAAAATATTTGATTCTGCTAGCTGTGGCGTTAGCAAAAGGATCCTGCGATTTACTGTTTTTCTTCCTTAAATCTCACCTAGATATGCAGGGCACTTTGAGTCACAAAATAAAATAAAAAACTTGCAATCCTCAAACTAATCCTTAATTTGGTGTAGTCCATTCAGGCTTATGTGAAGTGAAGGGTTTGGAGACTGCAGCGAAACCTGGCAAAATTCTTGCCACCCCCTTCTTTTGCAGGAAACAATGTACAGTGGTACCTCGGGATTCGAACGGCATGTGCAGGTCGCATTTTGCCACTTCCAGGCATGCGTGTGACGTCATTTTGAGTGTCTGTGCATGCGCAAGCGGCAAAACCTGGAAGTAATGCGCTCTGTTACTTCTGGGTTGCCGTGGAGCGCAACCCGAAAGCACTCAACCTGAAGCACATTCAACCCGAGGTATGACTGTAGAATGAAAAGTAATTGTGTAGGAAATTATGCAATTTGGAAGAGAAAGAAAACAATGCCTGGAATTGATGCTAATTTAACCTTTGAACTGGCTCAAACAAAGCCTGTTACCTATATATAGGTTGTTGGCATCTGTAGCCATGTTCCAGGAGTGAGCCAGCGGTCAATCACATGAAGCAAGTGGAATTAACTCTTTATTAGAAAAAAAACAAAAAACAGGATCTCCACAGGAATGCCCCCATAAAGCAGTTGCTGAGACTAAGTCCCATCCTCTCCAGGGTTTTCCCCAAGCGATCGCAGACTGTGCTTGTGTGGCACTAATTTCTCCTCCACCCTCTTCATGCCTCTCTTGGTCCTGGAAGACTAGGAAGCGAAGCTTGTTGCTTGAAGGGGAGGCACCCATGCCTCTTCACCAGCCTGACTCATCTCTGCTTCTTGGCCTTCCTCCTCTCCTGCTTTTGCCTCTGAGTCTGGACTGCTCTCTGCCACAAACTTTCATTGCTCACTAAGCCCTGTTACCTCTACAGCTTCCCATACCTCCTCCTTCCCGTCTTCTCTCTCTTCTTCCTCCTCTGGTCACTCATGGTCACCAACACTTCCTGGGCTCTGAGCCTTCTAAATTTATCTACACACCTTAGGTGTATAGGCCACTTTTGCAACAAGCTCCATCCCTGGACCACCCAAAACTGCTGCCTTCAGTTGCCAGGACTTCCCCAAACCACTGGGCTACATTCCTCTACAGTCAGTGTTGCCCAGTGGTACATATGACTGTAGCCCAGTGGTTTGGGGAAGTCCTGGCAACTGAAGGCAGCAGTTTTGGGTGGTCCACCATCATGCATACTCTGGAACCTGCCCCTAAATCCTACAATTCTGATTTTAGGACTCAGCAACTCTAGACTCATATGGACCATAAAGAATCATAGAACCTTCTGCAAGGGATAGAGAGGGCCTTACTCACACATGGACCATAGCGCCTCCCTCCCACAAGTAATACATAGCTCATCTTTAGATAAAAGAAGGAGAAGGATCGCAATTCCTTAAACTTTGCATTGGAAATTAGTTTATTCAGTGCAGCTCCCATCCCATTTGGACAAGAGGTTGCTGACTACTGGAAATTTCTTTTGGATACAGGCCTTTGGATGGTGAAAATCAGTTGGCACAAATTACTTGCGTAGAATTTGCTGGCGATGCAACCCATTTCCCCCCCAGTGTTGTAAGAAACATGGGAGACCCTACTGAATTGGGCGAAGAATCTTATCGGTCGCATCATTTTGCTTCCAACGTAGGCCAGCCAAATGCTGTTGGAAAGTCTACAAGCAGGGTGTGCCGACAAAAGCTCATTCCTGCCCCAGTCTTGTTTGACCGCAGCACCTGGTTTTTCAGCTGTATGCTACCATTGGGCGTGGGGCTGACATCATTGGGAAAGACCTCCTTAGGGCAGGAGATGACCTCAGCGCCTCTAGGGTTCTTGGAGGTCCTGCGGAGGCAGCCTAGAAATAGGCCAGAGAGGTGTTGCAGGCAACATTGATTTCTCTCGTAAAGCTCTTAAGGGGTGACTAGGGGTCAGCGGAGGAGCTGGTGTCATTATGCGAGTGGCCGTTTTCACCTGGCAGCCCGGGCAGGGGAATTGGCCCTTCCTTTGTGACGGCCACAATACCGCCGCCCGTCCTTGCTGGTCTCCCTGTGTGTGCCATTGTAACCCTGTTGCCTAACCCTTTCCCTTCATTAAAAGTCTCGAGTTAAGCACATGTCAGTTTCCTTTTGTGCTTATTGATCAGACGCTGTCATCTTCTTCGCCGTCCTTATCTGCAAGTGAACCCTCCATACCCGGAGACTTCTCCCTCCCTCCCGCGGAGCACCCTCCTTAACCTGGCCTGTCAGCATAATGAAGGCTTGATTTCAATGCGACTCCCTCATTTCTCTGTTCACTGCTCTGCAGGTTAATGCAGATTCCAAACTTCAACAAGCAGCTGTTAAACATGTCATTAACACTGCTCTGGCTGCAAATGAAACTCAGCTACTGGGATTATTCTGGGAGCTCCAGTTTTGTGATGAGCTTTGTCAATCACAGCTGACCTGCTGTGTACAGAATGAAACTCAGATTATCTTCTTTCTTCCTCAGACTCTTGTCATTTTTTCTCTCTCCCCCCCTCCACAAAGAATTACTATTCTACTCCCAGAAAGATTGATTACTTGCACAAATAAGAGAGTCGGAGACATTAATACAAAATTCCACAGGCTTTTCTTTATCTCAGACCTGCAACTCCCTCTACATTTCCCTCCTGGTAATTATATTAGAATTGTGTACACTAGGAATTGCCATCTGATTATTATGAAACTAGTTTTGTCATGACAAAAATGAGCTTAAGTCTTGTTTTTTTGGGAAATGATCAGTACAGTGCACTGGATGAGAGAGAGAAGGAGATTAAATCCAACTTGCTTTCATCCATGAATGCTTTCATCTCTTTTTCAAACACAGGAAATGATTACCACTGCTATAAGCTGCAGTTCATAGGAGTGAAAAAAAGGATATGAAAATATTGAAAATTCTGTAACCAGCAGTAGGACATAATATAGGTCCCTGGTACCCACTGAGAGACATGTGCTTTATTTTTCTATACTGCCAATGTCAAGGGTTCCTCATTTGAAGAGCTGCCTCACAACGAGGTCCCATTTTATATTGGGGAATATGTTAACCAGCTTGTGATTTTCCTAGGTTAGCATTTTTATTGCACAGAATACAAATATGAAAGAAGCTTTCATAAATGGCTCTTCTTGTTAGCCCAATAACAAGCCAGATGTTTTGTCCTGACAACATTCCAAGGTGCCATGCATAGAGAAACATAATTTCAAGAGGAATGGGAGGAGGGCAAAAATGTTTATTCGGAAATCTTCTGGCATGGCCAAAAAGGTCCAGAGATAGATTGGCATCATGACAACAGACTTGCTGTTCAGAGAATTAATGTGTGTGCAGGGACTATTTCCATGTATATAAAAGGATACGGTGGGTTTTCATAGTCATTTTGAAACATTAAAATACTTGTTTCTCTGTTCCATTGCCAGACCACATAATCATATAAATTTAATTTTTGCGGTGCACAAAAAAATTAAAAAATTAAAAAGAATAGAAAATAGAACAAAGAAAACAGAAAATATAATAAAATGCAACATGTTCACACAAGTCCACAGAAATGCAATATGAGTCATCTTCAAGAGAAGGTTTGCTGGAACAACCAAGTTATAATCTGGTGACTAAAACACATTGCACACAGGGGCAGTCCATAGTCTCAGTGCCACCATACTGAATGCACTATTTCTAATCAATAATAACATGGCATTACATGGAACTGCCATTTGACTCCAGTTTAAAAGTTCTGAGTATAACTGGCTTTGTTTGCGACTCTCGGAATTCTCACTGGTTTGTCCTCTGAGTTTGCTGCATTTTCTTCTTATTTACAGTCCCCTGCCAACTTCTTTTTTTCCCCCCCTTCTCTTCTCAGGCAACTCATCCCCCGCCTCCCTTTCTCAAACAAGGTTCTCATTCTTCTTGCCTTTCATCCTTACAGAGCCTATCTTCTTTGTCCAGTATTTCCCCAGTTCCGCAATCCAAAGTCCCCTTGCCCAGGTGGGTGTAACATGCAATTGGATTCTGGTATGGATCGCAATGTGAGCTGGGCAAGAGGATGTAGCGGATTTAAAGAGAGTAGTGAGAAGTGTAGGCAATGTGATGGGAGTGATTTGGCCTACAAAGGCCACTGAGATATAGATGAACAAGTGTGTATGTGTGTGCGTGGTCAGTCCACCTTATGCTATCCGCAGGGATTTGGAGTGATGCACACTATTCTGGATACCCAGATCATGTGCGTCAAACTTCCGGAAAATTAGAAATGAGGCCTTTTTTCCCCTCCAGACAGAGCTCACCTCAGCTCAGCTCTGGCCTCTCTCAGAATTGCCATTCTAAGAGAACAAGGGAGAAGTTAATCGTGAGCTCCAGCCCCTCTTTTTCTAGAAAAATAGCACTTGGAGTGACATGGTACATGTACTTTGGAATAAGCAGAATACATGCAAAGGAAAACTGTTTATTTGCAGCATAAACTTGCACTGAATTTTGTCATGTATTTATTTGATTTCATAGAATCATAGAATCATAGAGTTGGAAGAGACCACAAGGGCCATCGAGTCCAACCCCCTGCCAAGCAGGAAACACCATCAGAGCACTCCTGACATATGGTTGTCAAGCCTCAGCTTAAAGACCTCCAAAGAAGGAGACTCCACCACACTCCTTGGCAGCAAATTGCACTGTCAAACAGCTCTTACTGTCAGGAAGTTCTTCCTAATGTTTAGGTGGAATCTTCTTTCTTGTAGTTTGGATCCATTGCTCCGTGTCCGCTTCTCTGGAGCAGCAGAAAACAACCTTTCTCCCTCCTCTATGTGACATCCTTTTATATATTTGAACATGGCTATCATATCACCCCTTAACCTCCTCTTCTCCAGGCTAAACATGCCCAGCTCCCTTAGCCGTTCCTCATAAGGCATCGTTTCCAGGCCTTTGACCATTTTGGTTGCCCTCCTCTGGACACGTTCCAGTTTGTCAGTGTCCTTCTTGAACTGTGGTGCCCAGAACTGGACACAGTACTCCAGGTGAGGTCTGACCAGAGCAGAATACCAGAGCAGAAAAGCTCACACTTCATCAGTTGACCCTAGGGGAAAAAACCAACAGCAATTTTTTAAAAAAAGGAACTATACAACATTGGCTAAGAGTTACCACAAGCGCAAATATACAACTGGCAGTGAAATCAAGAAACAACTGGTACCACAATAACACAATCCATAACAACAACAACAACACCACCCCACCCACCTGACTGGGTTGCCACAGCCACTCTGGGCAGCTTCTAACACATAATAAAACATTTAACGTTAAAAAAAATCCCTTCCCTATACAGGTCTGCCTTCAGATGTCTTCTAAAGGTTGTATATTTACTTATCTCCTTGGCTCAGGGGTTGCATAACTCCATACCCCCCCTACATTTCTCTGATGAAAATGGGGACATCCTAACGAAAAGCGGGACATTCCAGGATCAAATCAGAAACTGGGATGGCTTCTCTAAATCCATGAGTGTCCTTGAAAAATAGGGACACTTGGAGGGTCTGCAATAGGCAGGTAGCTATAGGGAGAGGCATTCCTTCATATATTTTTGTTGTTTAGGTGTTTCTATGTCAGCATCAGCAGAGCTCAGAAACATATACACAACCAGCGCTTCTTCTTCAGGACCAGCGTTATATGGTTTTGACTGGTCAAAACATTCAACATACCGGCACCTTTATTTGGCGCTGTGGGTTAAACCACAGAGCCTAGGACTTGCCGATCAGAAGGTCAACGGTTCGAATCCCGACGACGGGGTGAGCGCCCATTGCTCGGTCCCTGCTCCTGCCAACCTAGCCGTTCGAAAGCACGTCAAAGTGCAAGTAGATAAATAGGTACTGCTCCAGTGGGAAGGTGAACGGCGTTTCCGTGCGCTGCTCTGGTTCGCCAGAAGCAGCTTAGTCATGCTGGCCACATGACCCGGAAGCTGTACGCTGGTTCCCTCGGCCAATAAAGCGAGATAAGCGCCATAACCCCAGAGTCAGTCACGACTGGACCTAATGGTCAGGGGTCCCTTTACCTTCACCTTTTTTACAGTTTCCGAACTGTCTTCAAGGTGCAGACCCAGGGAGAGGACATTACAGCTGTTCAACCAGGAGGTTACCAGAGTGTGGGTTACTGTAGCAACACAGTCTCTGTCTAGGTGCGCAAGGCACAGCTGATAACAGGCCGTCCACACCACTGA